TGAGTTATTTTGATGGAATGGCCCATGTCCGATATTTAACTTTATCGCTAATATCATCTGATACCGATACCACGCTGATAATATCGTGCATTCCTAATTATTATTATTGTTTAGAGAAAATATTCAGATTGTGTGGACACTTTGAAAGAATAACTGTAATCTCACCTATGGCCTTGGTGTAATAGTTGAAAGCTTCAGAGTAATCTTTCTTGCTGTAGTATGCATTTCCCTGCTCCTTGAAGCCTTCAGCTTGACTGGAAAGAGGACAAACAAAAACCGAAGTCATGAGCTCGTACAACAGATACAAACAAACCAACACAAAACTATCCGATATTCCAATAAATCAGAGTTCAAAAGTGACCTCTGAACTAAGATTATTTTATTTTTATGTTGCTGAAGCAAAGTTCGAGCTGTCCTGCATTTCACCTGAAACTGGGACGCCTGAGTTGGGAACACACAGTCCAGGACTAAATGCAGCTGTAAACTCACCTGCACCTCAGAGGAAAAGCAAACCAAATAGGATTCACACACACACAAAAAAAACAAGCTACGGCTGCTGTTATGCACTCTTACAAAACGTGAAATAAACTACAAATTAAAATAGCATGTGTACATCAGAGGAAAAACATCTAAATAAATAATTAGGAATACAAACTAACATCTAAGAGTCGGATTATTGTAAAAATCTGCTCATTTTATCCGCCATTCTACATTTCTGAAAGTGTCCTGTAAAGTCTGAACAATAAGTAGGTCAGCATAGCATCAGATTATAAGCTGTCTGGGATGCGCAGGTATTATGTTGATTTGCTGAAAGAACAGTAAAGTTGTTTGGAGCGATTAAGAAATGACGCAATCAAATAGTTTATTTTCAGCACAGTGAAACTGCACATGAATCAAGAGGCCAGGTTGTTTCTGAAGTGCATTTCTGGAAAGTTAAGAAACAACCCCACACTTTCTATTTTTTTTAATCCTGTCAGTTTCCAATCTCTTGCCAGCACTTGATGTCTTAGACGAATGGTTTCCAGACTTTTCATCTGTCAGGCTACTAATACGACATTTACCAAAGAACCTTAGTGTTACAGTGTCAAACAGGGTGTGACCAATTCGTAGTATGGTTGTCTCCATGTGTTAAAGCCAACATCTTATCTGATTTTAATAGATCCACATCACACATTGTTCTACACTAATTATTACTTCTCAAACTGAAGGTGCCATTCTTTAGTAAATTGTGCTTAAAGCAAAAATACTGTTTATGAAAAAAGTACAACTCCAGTTTATGTGCAATCAACAAAGCTGTTGGTTTTAGTTTCTTTTGTGCAAAAATCATGATTAAATTTAATGATTGGTATTTCTGTATGAAAATTAATTGTATTATTACATGAACTGAATTGAATGTTTGTGGATTTGAATCTGGATCTGAATTGGTGATATAGAAATTATTATTTTAATGCTTTTATGTCAATCTAGACCTATATTACACTTATTTAAACACACTTATACAACGTGTTATTCACATATTAGGGATTGTACTTTGTTTAACATGTCACAGAGACAAAGGGGGGAATGATTTATGTTGCCTTTGTTAATATTTGGGACATTCTTTGATGGTTTGCAGAGGGATGGAGGAGTGCGTATTTCCTCTTTAGGAATGCTTTAATAAGCATTAGGAGTGCTCTTGACCTGGAAGCTTTGGCCCGCTTTTACGGTCACAGGCGCTCCTTACTGGAAGGATGAGCCATCACTTTGATGATGGTTTAATTAGATCCGTTGTTCTGGTAACCATCAAAACTTGCTTTGATCTGCTCTCACGCGATCCGGTCAGGGAAGAAGGTATAAAAGAATTGTGACAGGCAACTTAATCTTGGGAAGTCCTGTGATGGATCAGACGC